ATTACAGACCATCCGTGTAAACCCCAGCTCGAACCGGGGGGATATTAAAAATGACGTTCAAATGTGCAGAGGAATAAGAGATTCCCTAAAACTACGAAATTTCACGGGGTAAACGCTGGGAACGCGATACGGGCAAGAGATTTTAATATCGAGCGAAAAATTCGCGAAGGAACGGGAGGCCGGGGGTATCGACGATGATATGAAATCCAAAACAGATATGGAAAAATGGCCGGACCGATGTCCGACGGGGGCAACGAAAAAAAAAGAAAAAAAACAATGAGAAGAATCGAAAGAAAAAAACTCGGTTGTACGCGCGGACCGGGCGGAAAAGTAAGTGAAGCTTCAATAGCCGATTAAATTGGCTCGAATTTTTATCGCTTTACGTTCTGGTCTCGGCGTTTATCCGTCAATTTTATAGAACAAAGTAGCGCCCTGTGCATCAAACGCGAATAAACCTACGTATTTCCATCCACGATCGCTGGAACTCCCGGCAAAAAGTGCACTGACGCTTTGAACTTGCGATGAAACCGATCGGAACATAATCACCGGTATCGATACGTATCGATTTTAAGAATATTGTCGCGAATGTGTCAGAGCTGGGACATTGCATTGCATTAAATAAATTTAATTGGATATATTGTTCCCTCGACTGGGTCATAAATGCATTAATCAGGGCAACCTGGAGATAGTTAGAAAAAGTAACAGAGACTAAATAAAAATTATGATAATAGCACGACTTGCGAACGAACGTTTAAATAATATATTCGAATAAAAATGACTACGTTCCCCCCCAACAATGATAAATAAATTTCATAAACGAATACCCGTGATCCCTTTAAAACGTTCCCCCTATTAAAATTTAAATACGATTCGTAAACAACGCGACGGTGAATTAATAGAAATTCTTGCGCCCGCAAATAAGATTATTTATTTGGCAAATAATCCGCCGTCCGTGTACGAGCGTTAACGCCTCTATAGTATAGATTTTCAATTACTGCTGGCCCCGCAAACAACCGAGGGGGGGGTGCGTAATCACCTCGCCATATTGAAAATAATTTACCTACGAGTACGGCGCGTCGTTTCGCATTCTAAAATTTAATGAGAACCCGGTGGGGCAGGGATATCGGAGGAAGGACGAATTGGTCGTAAGGCTGAATACAAATGGGTTCATTTGCAAAGGAGCGAACAGAGAAGTCCGTCCGGACCAACGGACAAACAGTTGACCAAACTCATTATTATTCTTCCACCCTTCGCGTCTTTCACCTCTCCGTTTTCGGAATCAAAATCCTCGTGCAATCGAGTCGACCTCGCTGACAAACGGCTGAAAGGGAAGCTCGCGTGGAATCAACATAAACTCGATTAACCGGTGACCCACGTGTCGTTTCTTCTCAAAGGGGAAGCATATCGAGGCTCCTTTTAACTTCACACTGTATCATCGGATCGTTCGTTCGGCGCTCCAAGTATTACTCGCATTAATTACTAGAGATTAGTCAACATTTATATCAGTATATCGCACCATCGCAACAAAGTGACAGTATAATGTATAAAAATAAAGCATATATCCGCTCCAAATTTATAGTACAGGGTCTACGAGGTAGACATTTTGAAGTTAACAATAAATATCCTATAAATCAACGATACTCTAATTATAATTAATTCATGGCACTTTCATTCAAATTCGTATCAATTTATTGCAATCTATAAATTTGGAATTAATAATAAATTTACCCCTATTTGCAATCGATTCGATACATATATTTTGATCGAAATTTATAGTAATTTATTACACGTGATAAATCATACTGTAGAATTCTAATTAGTCTTCGAAGGAGGACGCGTAACAATTTTTTCGTTGAATTTATCGATTTCCGTCGCTTTCCTTGCGAGGGTGCAATATGGCTTCTTTACTCGTTAATGCTACTTACGTAAAAAATATAATATTAAGATAAACACTTGCTACATCTCGTGAATCGTGGCTATTAAACAATACCAGATTAACGTCTACAAAAATTAATGATAAATTGTGCTGGTGCATTGGAACACTTCTCAGGTGCAATAAATGCGTGCTCGTTAAGGGGGAAATTTATACACGTAAAAAACAACAGAAAAATCGAGTTCTAACTACGTCAAAGTACGGTTAAAAAATGTCAGTACCATGGACGGAGGGGGGTGAAAACGAAAAATAACGGATGTGCAACGAAATACAAATCTTCTCGAAGGATACAATTTGCATGCGCGGAAAAACCGTGCTCCCGAATTACGGGCCAGGAAAGATTAACACGTGCACGAATCTCTATAAATTCGAAAGCTCGTTGAATTTCCTGCACTCGAGCAACAGTGGAATTTCGTGGCCATAAATCGTACCCGGTATAGCTAGCGATGGGCTCGAGACACTTCGAGTCGGTTCAACCTTAGGTGGAAAGTTCGGAAAGTTTCTCAGCCGACTAACTTGCCGCGTTAGACGAAATTAGGGTTCTTTAAAAGTTTCGTGAAGTCTGGATGAGATGATTGTTTCGATAAATCTTGGGAGCGTCGAGAGATTAAATCCTTGGAGCAAACGTCGGAATACGCGTCATCGGTTGCAATGGCGAATAACCTCGATATGGATTCGCTGAATCGCCCGGCAAGACTGACTTTCAAGGTTTTCGACGATTCCGAAACTTTTTCGAACTCTCGATGCCCCCGCAGAGTTTTTCAAACTCTCGAATCTTATAAGACTTTGAAGACTTTTAAAGGCTTTTATGATTTTACCAGAATTATAGAAATTTCAAGAGCCCCGAAATCGACGGGAAGTTTCAACGATTCGAAGACTTTCGAAATTACGAATGTTTTCAGAAACTTCCAAGAAATTTCTCAAGACTTTCGAGACAACATTTCCATAACATTTTCGAAACTTTTACAACGGAATTCAAGGATTTCAGAATTAAACTTGCTATTCAAAGCGTTTCGAATCTTTCGCCGTGTTGGCCAGAAATCATGCAAGGGTACTAATTGCCCACTCCAGCACATTCAGAACTATTGTAGCTTAAATTTTCAAGCTTTTAAAATGGAATTGGAAGTCGATTGTCGAATTAACAACAGCGTGGAAACTTTCGAAGCTACTAAAACCGCCAGCCCGTGTATAAAACAAATTTCACGTGGTTATCGACTGTCTGTATAAGTAAAATTTCGGTCTCCCTTAAATTAAAACTTGGAATACCCGTTTACTGGGTGAGCTAGAGTGGCCTAAGTTCGTCGATTACACCAAGATCGTGCATCAAGCGGGCTTTAAAAAAGTCACGGTGGATAGGTTTAAACATGCTATTATATGAAGTAACACGTGGCACCGACGCGATACAAGCTGCATGTAGTTAGCTACTCGTTGCACGGTGCAATCTCGAAATCAACCGGGCAACTTGGGAGCACGCACGCCGATAAAAAGGGGCTTCCGGTCTACGTGATATACGCGTCGTTACGCCCGGAAAATATTTTCGTCGTTATCGCCGGTGGAAGTTTCAGGGAACACCAACAATTATGATTCTGAGCCAGCAGATCACATTCAACCCTTAAACCGTAACCGGAAATACATGCACACCGTGTCGCTTTATTGCTCGGTGTGTACAGATTTCTTGCAAAACGGCCACTCGAATCTCGCCATATCGTTAAATTAACTTTAAAATTACTTCGAACATCGCCAACAATTTTTTTTGTACGAGACTACATATTTCCTCTACGATGAAAGACGCGCAGTTATCGAGTGACAAAAATACCCCAACGCGTCGTGAAAATATTTTCGGTGGCAGGAATGCAATTCCAGCACACGGGTACATTGTTCCGTTTTATTGCGCGTTTTAAATAGTTCGCCACGCTTGAAGTAATTTTTATTAAATATTTGGAAGCGACGGACCTTACTTTTCCAGTCACACGTTCAATTTCAACTTAATTATTATTTCTGGAAAACAATTTTTATCGACACCTTTCACCTGAGAAACTTAAACATCTAACACAGGCTAGTTATAGGATAAACCTGGAACGATTTATTTTTTATTTTTGTCCAACGACTTCGTGAAAACAAGCCTGAAGGAACGAGGTTCAGCGAATAGAGCTGTTTTACAACCTGACCCCAACTTAATCCTAAGTTACAGTCTAACTTAAACGTAACACAATTTTACGGGATATCCTGTGATCAGTTCTCGCGCCAAAATAATTCTCTTTTGCAGCTCAAAAAAGGAAGACGTCCACTGTATGCCCTGAAAGTTTGCGATCAAGAACCCTTGCTCGAGATAAGAATGATCCTGGAATGAATGATCGCATATAGTCGCTGCTGTGTTTAAATATTTTCGTTTAAGACTACGCCCCTGGAGAAGTCGAAGTACGAAAGGAGGAACGAGGCCTACAATCTCGACGATGGACAGAAAAAGCGGGATAATTGGTTTAAGGGTTAAATTCGGATCGCTGCTCACAGTCTGAAATTATCGTGGAAGAGATAAAATTTATGTACATGATCGAGGTAAAACGAGGGTGATACAGTGCCAGAGCGGTTTATTTGCGGTTCAATTTGCGCTAAAGTACAGATACTCATGCAAAAAAAAAAAAAGGAAAAAACACGAACAGTATGTACAGGCGTGGACGTGTATCGTACCACGAACGAGGCGGAGAGAGAATCGACGCAAACAAAAGCGGTTAGAAATTAAAAATCTTAAATTTCCCGACCTCCCGACGGAACGATCGTTGCACGGTTTTGGAATTGAAACAAGACGCCGGAGAACGACAATGTTTATTCTGACACATATTTGACAAATAGGCATATAATTATACATAAAATGGAAAAAATCTTCCTTTGATACGTCCGTTTTCGTCGATCCTGAATTAAGTTACTCGTGTAAAATCATTAGCGAGAACGCCGCGAGCGATGCATGAAAATAAGTGGGTGTTTTATATCTTATATATATAATATGTATATATAGAGAGATACGTATAACATATGGTAAATAAATATATAATATATGTACAAATAATACCTAGGCGAACGCCACTTCGCGTTAAGATGTCGCCACCCCGAGCCGGGACTGCCGTACTGCAACAGACACCCGAAACACTGTCATCATATGCGTTCAGCTTGGTCAGAAAAAAAATTATAATGCAGTAGCCAATCAACACAGCACACAACTCAGGGATTGAAACTGCTTAAAAGAACCGTCGTCGCGATGGAAAAATCTATTCGCGCGAGATCGACCACCCTAATACTAATAACTCGTCCTAAAACCTCTATGCACTCGTTTGAAATTAATATTGAACAAATTTCTGACCCACTGAATCCAATATTCATCTCCCAAAACAATCAAGAGAACGAATTTACGATGAATTTATAAAATCCTGTTTCACGTATAGAATTTTTAAATTTTCAAAGGAACAAACTATTTCTGAATCAATTTGGAATATTTTTAGAATACCAGCGGACGAATCGTCGGAAAAATCGCGTGCAAAAGTCTCGTTCTATATTTTCGATTCGATCTTTTATTAGAGAGAATCGATTCCGGTATAAGAACCGATAATCGAATCCGCTACGTGTACACCCCGATTCTGTGTTTCCATGACCGTTACGCAAGATAGAGGTTTTTTTCAAAACTCCGTTAAAATTGAATCGAAATTTGTATTATTTCAGCTTTCAACCCCTGCTTTACGTACGTTCTCCAAACGCTCGGCCGCGGATGTTGCAAAGAGAATATTCAATTTGATTAAAAAAAACTTCCAACGCGAAAGATAACTTGTTTTAAAAAGTGTTGCCCGAATACCGTAGCCATCGAACGGTTAGAATAAATATTTCATTCGCTTAAAAAATATAAACCTTCGTTTTCCTTTATTTCTCTAATAAATCAGTGCAAACACGGGCTATCTCTATATTGTGTTTTTGCATCGATGCTTTGTTCAACCCCCTATTGCACAAACTTCACTTTATTTCGTAAAAAAGAATCTTGAATGTGGATTCCGAATTCTTTGATAAGACTATTCTTACTTCTATTGTATTGTATAAAGTTAATTTACAATTATTACTATTTCCAAATTTTCATTTTAATCTAAGATCAAGACGTTCGAATTCTGTTATTTAAAAACAGTGAAGAATTCCGTTCGGTTAAAAGAAGATTTCTCACAGGTGTTGCAAAACGTCGCAACAGGTGGGCATTTCTACAACGAATTCTAGCGAAAGAAATTATTTTATTCCCGATTACATGGATCCACGCCCTTAAACGTTTGTATTGTTCATCTTTCGGTAATAAAATTAATCGTTTGTTTATTCTCCCCGTTTATAATGTTCACTTTAATAGTATCGGTATTACTGTACGTAAAATCCCTTTTTATATGGAATATTTGTTTCTAAATATTTGCACCGATTCCACAAGTTTGCATAATTGATTCATCCCGGTGAAAATATTGGACTTTCAAATTAAATCTTTCGTAATGTTTTTCCTCCATTTATACTGCCACTGAACTCTTCATTAAGCACTCAACAAAAAGTTGTATGCTCGAGAAATGTTTGAACAAACGTCTCGTTTAAGTCCATAATTAACGTTTCTGAAAATTTAAAAATCGTTACGACTAACTTGGAATAATTTATTTACACCAAACTATTATGAAAATGTCTGGTTCGTTTGTACAATGCAACGCGAGAGATTTCTGCGTTCTAATTGTCGCGTAATAAGACCATTTAACTTGTCCCATTTTTACCACGGTACGATTTTCAGGCGTGTAATACGTAATATCCAATTATCTGCTTTAAAACTCGAAACGCGAGTCCACTTGTCGCGATAAAATTTGCATAAACCTTTCAACAGTTGAAAGATCCAATTACTGGGATATCTACTTTATTCCCAGTGAGAACGGAGCTCTCGAATCAATTACCGTCATTTCCGGTGGACAAAGAGCAACGGTCACTCGATTAAAAGGGGAAATTCTCAAAGCAGCTCCGGGTTCGAAACGTAATCTGGCCGGGAAAATTGCAATTTCCCCGTTGACCAGAAATAACCGCGTGACGATATAAAATATATCCCGGCCGCGAGAGCGCGATCGTTGCTTTTTAATTGTCTTTCATTCGCCTCGAAATCGAACTACCAATCGCGAAAATTGCTGTTTTTTACCCCCGTGCTACTGCGCGAGTGTTTTCCTCATCGACCATGTTACGAATTAAACAAATTTAAAATGAAAATAAAAACTAATCAGCAGTAGGAGACTAAATAAAGCTACACGATTTTAACATAATTCATAATTCTTCTCCGAGCAACATTTCGATCGAGCGATCGTAGACTAACAACCGAACATTTTTGCGTTTCCCTTTTCTTTATTTCAGTGATCGAGAAAACGCAAAATCCAACGTGGATCGTTGGGGAGCTCCTTTCCACTTCGCATGCGTTTCGTCACACGTTTCATGCAAGAGCAAAGAAGCTCCGTTAAACGAACAAATTCACTCTCACTCTGTTAGTACGAATAAAAAAAGGTGTCCACGAGCGTTAATTAGAGTAAACGTCACGCGTTAGGTGAACACATCACGCTTGTTATTATCGCAAGAATCATTCGCTGAAGAGATTTATTAGTCGCGAAGAGATCGATGCACGTCACATTGGGGGAACACTGAAAGAGAGTCACGGCGATCTATCGATCCCGACGCTGGATGGGTAAATTTTCGTCGCCGCGAACATCGAGCGATTTTCAAAAGCTCTGCGCACTCGACGATCGCGCGACGTTTAAAGCGTTAAACTCGGCCCATCGTGAAAATCATTCTTTCGGGTTTTCATTGCGACGCGATGGGCAGCCCCGTTCCGCAAACAATTATCAGAAAGGGAAATTACGCTCGCGCGACGATTTTCACGACCGACGCCAATCGAGAGGTCCATGCATGTAAATCGAGTTATTCGAAAACAACCGGCGGATAGATTTTCACGATTTCGGACCAATTTAACCCATTAAGTAACGAACCATTGTTCCCTAAAAATTCGCTTCTGCATTTCACGTTAAAAAATATTTTAGTAACAGAGAGTACTATAAAAATCAATTTTCAATTTTTTTCATTCAAAAAAAATATTGCAAAAATAAAATGAAACTTCGTGTCTGAAAAATTCAATTCAAGTGAATCTTAATATCAAATTATTTGTTTTTTAACACTGGTACTTAATGGGTTAAGCATTCTGATGTTTCATTGGTTCAACGTGCTGCTTAAATTTCAACAATTTTATTTCCACCGAACGAATGTTACCGGGAGGACAAGAACCTCCAAACGAACAACAACGCCCGCTAACGTTATTTATATTTTAAGTTCGCGTGAGAAAAAGAAATTACTTTCATTCTCCTCCATAAATAGCTAATCTGAACTGTAAAGCGGCAATCTGCCTAGCAACTTTCCTCCAAACGACCGGCTAATTGAGTTGTACCCCCCCTCGTGCACGAGGGAAAAACTTTATTGGGAGCAGCACGCGGTTGATCCAACGGAACAGTTTCTACGTGATTTAACCTGTACGGGGGTGTCAGCGAGTTGAGCAGGTTGCATTACAGTACCAGCAAAAAGTATGAGATCGTATCTTGAACGAAAATACATCCATGAAAATTTAATAAGGCTAAGAAAAAAATAATTGCACCACTTATTTTTACCTGAGGACTACGAAACGCTTAGATATTTATCGAAAAAGTATTGCACTCTTCATGAATAATAACGTACAAGAAGGTACGAACTGCATGTACCTCAGAAATTACTATAATTTGACTGGACTAACGACACATGAGACACGATTTTCATTTATACTTGAATAATGATCTAATGGCCTATCTGCTCGAAAGAGTAATCTCACACTTTTTATCTGATATGTCCAGTGATGGGATCAAGTTCAATATTATTAAAAAAAGGTGTCCAAGAGTTTCGAATAACGAATGTTATTAAATTTGTCTCGTTAGAGGAATAAAATGGTATACAAGATTTGTCTGGAAAAGAGCCACAGGGTGTTCGAGGTGTTGGTATCGCGCTGTATTTCACCACGTGCCAGATACAGCTCGCGATACGCTTGATCCCATCACTACCCACGTCGTCACGTGTTAAACTGCTCGCTGCTCGACATTTAACGTCGAGAGGACGTCACGCAAAGCGAACAGAGCTTCTGGAGCTTTGCGTGGAAATTAACGCGTCACGACTTCATCGGGTTTGATAGGATGTACCTAAACCTTCCAGCGAACCCGTCGACCGGAGTTAAAGCTCGTCTGCGAACACTATTCGTAGTTAACGACGTGTCAGATCAAGCGTGAACTCTGTTTTCGGCTTCCATTACAGGCTCTGCAGGTAGCTACGATCCCAGTCCGTTAAACGTAAATCGATGAAAAAACCCTTATATCCTCGTTACGTTTTCGTTTTACGACGAAGTCGTGACTGATCCTCGGAATTTCAAACATTGATCTATAATTTTGCCTCGAAGAAAATAACTTAAACTTTGTGTTGGTGTTTACTGTAGAATGGAACGGTTCAAAATTGCAAGATTCTTTAAATACAGTTCCGTTATAAGAAGAATTACGATTCTAGTTACTTTGAGATTCCGAAGATCACACATTTTGAGACCCTTCCGTCACCTGAAAATGCAATTTATTGTATTCGTTGAACGCGCAAGGGAGTTTGCGGTATACTGTGAAGCGAAATTAGCGAAGCTGCAAAAACAACGATTAGATGGCTCGTTCAAAGAAAGAAACGCGCAGTTCACTCTGCTGATCGACCACCACTCAACGTGTAGCTACCTTTCATTGAATCAAGGCAGGTTTCCTGTGGTTCATGTTAAAGAATCGGAACTGTAGCCGCAGCGTTAGGTCTTTCCGTACTGTTGGGAAAGAATAGAGGTGTCGTAAGTATAAGTCGCAGCTCAGACTCGTGGAGTTTCTTGTCGATGGGTGGTAAGATCGTGTACACTAGAGAATTAGTCTACCTTCGCTGACAAAAGAGACGTCGAGACGAACTGTGATTCGACCAACGATTTACTGTACACGAGACGTTATTTTCTACACGTCGTCGTTTCGAGATCTTCTTGCACAGCCAAGGTAGACGTGGCACGCCCATTATAATCCTATCAGTTTATCGTGATCCCTACACTCACCGAATTAACCTGAGCTGTGTGTACCACCTACGCAACAATGAGACGACAAATCGCAAAATAAGATACGATGGATTTCCCCTTATGCGCGCATTATGGCTTAAGCTAATGTCTAGCGTGACGTTAAAAGGAGTAGAAGGAGGGAGGATGATGCGAGCAACTCAAGATAAAATCGTGCAAGGGATGCATGAATAACATAGATGCTACTAGTACCAATATTACTAAGCAATAACTAGTAATACCAGTTTTACTATTTACTGATAACATAGCTAATAACAATCTAATTAATACTCCCAATCACTGATTCTACTAGTAGCATTCTTACTAATGAAACATACTTTCATTGACCAAGACAATTTCAAGAACGATTATCAGATTAACATATTGACCGTTACAAAATACACATAAAAAAGTCGCAAACAGACACAGAAATTCTTTCTGACGAACTTGATGGGACGTTCAACGTGTACAACTTTGACTCGACATTTATAAACAATCGGTACACATTACGAGGACTAAAATCAGGCATAATTATTTCCAAGACTATATTCGGGGTAGAAATTCGTTGAACGGTAAATCTACTCACTGCACTAATCAGCGCTACGTTCTGTCTCTTAAGCCACCTACGGGGATAATGAAATTTTGTGATGGTGCACCGCTCTCTAGCTTAGCGCGTTCCACACGACAGACTGGCAAACACAAATAATTTATTAAAATTCTCTTGGTTTAAAAATTTACCTACAAAAGGACTGCTCAACGCAGGCGTATGGCCTGCTTGAACGATCGTAAGATGAGTAATAATAAAATGAGGTGAAAAAATATATTAAAAAGCTTGCGTTGGATGGGATGGAAACGTGTTGGAACATGCCATAAGGTGAAAAGCAAGATTATGACCTAGAATAATCTCGGATACTATGTTTGTACAAGTGTCGCGTCGTAGAACGCCTTTTATCTCATTAATGAAGCAACGATACACGAAAGCACGAAACAACTAACATCTGCTTTTCTGATTATCAGTGTTAAAGTAAGCTACAAGTAACAGTGGAACAGGAACGCGACTTAAACAGATTCGTACCGAATTAAATGCGTAAGTAAGTTGAACCTTTGGTTCTGTACTTGGCTGAAAATTGAAAACAGACCGATCATATTCAACATTTGGAATTTTCTAGGTACAACATCTTCGGTGCGCGGAATAATACGACGAAATGGTCGAATAAAATGAGTAACAGGGGTGCATTGGGGTGTAATGGTTGAGAACATTTTGAAAAACGTTAGAAATATGATGCGGGTACTGTACATATTCAATGGGTGCACTCTGGGGTCTCATAATTACCTCTATGCCACTAGCTAAAAAAATAATAAATGAATTTAGCAGGATGAATGGATGAGTGATGATGCGCTAGTAAAGCTCTATGTATGACTACGAAACAGATTCAGAAGAGTTAGAAGCATTTCGTCACATGATCTCCATGGTCCCCCATACAATTGCTTCCATCTAAACGAAAAATTAAGAGTTTAAATACCGCTATAGTCCGAATAAAGACAGTGATGTGTCTTTTTAGAGTGTAGGAATAAATGCTTCGACTAAAGAAACTATGTATGCAACGAGACACGCGGATCTCTGGATAAATAATCATAGAAGGTAGGTTATTTTTGTTGTAGATGTATAGTATGAACGTTTATAATGTATCTATTAAAAATTCAGGAGCAATATACCTGGAAAGGAAAGATTAATCAACTAGTCTAATAAACAGATATCTCTGACATAACTGTAGAGACAGACAAAGCTCAAGATCGATGAACACCACTGAAATGATAAATAACAAATATATCTTGAACCTGTATATGTACATATCCACCTAAGGAAGGTAAAACATTTCTTTTATAACATTTCACATGGCTGAATCAATGTTGAATGATGTATACCAGAAATAGGTTAAGATCGAAACCTCCGCGGCAAAAGTTATTCGTGTATAAATATAATATTTTGACTCACTCCTATCAATGTTGCGTTGCAAGTGTGCAGCTACACGATGTCTGGCGTCATTGAATTCCAAGTGAAGACCAAGTCGAAGCAACGTTGGATTTTGTTCTACCAACTGTGTGATTTCCATTTCAATTTTGTTTCCCAACACTTGTGACCTCTGCGCATTAAAAACAACAATACCCTTACATTAGGGAAAGTATAGGTAATAGTAGATCCTGATTATAAAATATTAACTTCGAAATGATTTCAGATTTTCGCAAAAAACTTTCGCTCTACAGAATGAAATTCTGTTTACGCGTATACGTCTTCAATGGCGCATGCGTGAGCACAAATCTTACTACCGCGATTGTTTTGACACTCAATTTCTATAATATTTCACTTAAAATTTACCTATTTTAGCCCAGCTGCACTACACTTTGATTTCGGAGGCCGAAAATAACTAATTTGCTATATACTATTCTAATTTAATTCAAATATGTATAATGCCGCACTTGCTCCGAGCTGCGAGCAGCTCTCGACTCGGCGACTAAATGAACAATGGCCGCCGAACCTAACCTAATGACTCGGAAACTTAAATTCGAAATCTGTATCCCCTCCCCTCCCCCTCCAAATTTTATTTCGACCGGCTACTAGGGCTTTTCGGAACTATAACCCAAAAAAAAAAAATAATGACGTAATTTTTATATATTACCTGATTGGAACATCGAAATTCTTCTATTGATTTCGTTTTAAGAAGTGCCCTGATGAGCCTCACTATCACAGATGGACTTATAAAGTTTGTTTCCACACTAAAACGTACAGTTTCAATGTGAAAAATATTTTAAATCGTATTGAAAATAGACGATGAAACTGCCACATAATATTATACTTACTTGAGTACTCTGAGCGTAGAATTTTTCTCTAAGGCTTCTGCCAACCTTTGCGCAGTCTTATCAGTAAGTCCCACATTTGTTAAACTTAAGGTTTCAAGATGAGTATTCATCTCCAGTCCTTCAAATAATTGAATAAACTTTTCGTCGGATATATTCTATGGAATAATAAATTTGCATTAAGTAAACGCTGAACTTGCTAATTGAAACTGTCAGCGAATTTCATAACCTCACTTTAATATTGTTCCAATTTAAATCGGTTAACGAAGCATCGTCTTCTCGAACTTGTTTGATAGTGGCGTCGATGTCTGTATCATTGGGTGGTTCCATTGGGTAAGGTTTTGGTTGACTAGCTTTTGTAACTCCATCCCAACCCATACCAATGGGCTGACCAGAATTTAATAGCGAGGCATGATATTGGTCCTGATTCATCATGGAATGGAATCCGAGAATAGCTACATACAAGAACCAGAGAATATAATAAAAATTATAATTATATCTGTAATTAAAATAAAAAAAAATGTAACTCACCGGCAAGATCAATGATTTCTTCTTGAGTGGCATTAGATAATGCTTGCTCGTACTCTTCTCCAAGATCAATAGCAATTTGTTCGTCTGCTTCTTTCTCTTTTACAGATTCTTGAGGAGGTGGAATCCACTATAAAGTGTAACAGAAATATATACAGATACTACAGGATTGGGCCGTTTACCTAGCTTCTATAAAACTGGCTATTAATACATACCTTTTTGCCTCTAATAACACCAGGTACAAAAGGTTTCAATTCTGGTATATCTGGTGTCTCTAAAGCCTGTTTGTTGATATGTTCGATTAGTTTCTTACGATTTAAGGGACCTGTTGGACTCTTGTCACATTCATAGCTACAACGTTCCGAGGGAGGCATAAAGCTATCCTATAAATTTATTATAAACCACTGTTACAAACTAAAATAATTAAATGAAAATGTCCATGTAAAAAGATTTTCTTACATCAGGATCCACTTCCTTGGCCAGCATATTAATTTCTTCCGGGGTAAGTTGTGACAACAGTTCATCCACATCAACATCGTCATATTCACTCAAGTCTTTCCCATACAACTTTGCTGCGGTTGTCATTGTGGTTGTTTTGGTTGATGCAGAAGTCTGGAAATTTTCCCATGGTTCTTGGTCAACTACAGAGTATCTTCGTGACATTTTGTTAATTGTAATATTAACGTAATTAATTAATTTTGCGAAACTAACAGCAGTTGTTTTGTCATCTGCTAATGCTAAACTATGTTAATTTTCTAGCACATCTGAATTATAAAAGAATATACAATATATTTTTTGGACGAAGAGTACTGTCGGAGTAATTTCTATATTATTTTATTAACGGTTTATTTCACTTTCCTCAAATTCGCATGAATGATGTGCGTGAAGTTCACTGAAACCAGTCGAAACGAACGAGTATAACGACAACAGTGGTCGATGACAACAGCAAAGAAACGCGACCAGGAAGAACGAAATATATATTGTGTTTTCGAGTGCAACGATATCAATGACGAGATATTTCGTCACGGTAAATGCTCATCACTGTGCCCAAGAGTACACGCAAGCGAGTGTTCCTGATCGAACGATCAGCGAATCGACAACTTGCATTTAAATTCGGCAACTGTCCAATACGGCTGATGCCCTTTGCCCCAGATAGTTCCGGATCGATTTTCATTGACAACTCATCTGCCAAATCGACAACCCACGCTAAACGCAGAGATTCGCGCCCGATCCCGAAATATTAGCGTCTAAACAAAAACGAAACTTACTCTTTACGAATTGTACACAACGGAAACCTATACCGGCGATAGTACTCCAATACGAAATTAGGTGAATCGCTCGTAATCAAATACCTCACCCACTTCTCACGACGGACGCACACTTTACTGACCAGTTCACCGATTGCGGCTGATTGCGGCATCGCCCTTTGACGCTTATACCATATTCGTGCAAAGAATTAATCTAATAGGCTGCAAACTCAGACTAGCCTTTATCGTTTTTCAAACAAATTTCTTCGTATATGTTCGATACGGGGCAGTCTCAACGTACCAGAAATTTGTAGTTCGATTAAAAAATGATTTAAAGCCAGAAGAAAATGTTGTTCATTCATTTATTATTTAAATAATTTGACGCAACCTTGTAGGGTGTTAACTTGAACGAGGTATAGGAGAAGCTAGCTCATGGAGAAAGTTTCTGCGCGTCTAGCGTCGCGCAGGTATTGACGTTGATGTAACACCCATGGCGGTTGTTTCAAAACACGGCCATATACGAAGAACGTTTACCAACCGCGAAAACTTGAATAAGAAAGAACAAAACTATAACGTACGCGCTACCATTTTGTTTTTACTTATCGCAGCTCTGCTTTTCGATCTAGCGAAGAATCCGATTCTTTAATGTTAAATAATATTAACTGTGTATAAATATCGTCTAAAATGAAAAATAGTTCGAGTTTTTGGCACTTTAAAACTCAACTTTACAGACACAGTTAAAGATTATACAGAATTAAAGTTCAAAGTATGTTTTCTATGACATTTGTCGCATTTATAATATATAACGCAACGTTCGAATACCGCAAACAGTATTTAACACACGCGTAAGTTACGTGTGTGGTAGTACGTGCGTGTGTATATTATTTACATAATGAATAACGCGTTCATGAGTCATGGGTGAACTAATTTATCCAGATAAAACTTCGTTCGTCACCGACGAACGCTGTAAATAACAAAGAGAACCAATATACCCATAAATTACTCGCCTAAAAGTATTTCATAACTACCAACTTTGTTATCTAGTACAAAATGAGACTCCGAAGCTTTGAAGCCTTATAGCTCATAAATAAACTTTGAACCACGCGGCGCAAGCTCCGAGAGTTCAAAACGAAGCTCATTTCGACGCCAAAGGACAAAATGATCGTCATCCGCGCGATGCGTAATGAATTCCGAAAGAGTTAAGCAAGCAACATCGTTAAGTGTGGCTTTGTCGATCGAAGGAGATCCAGCGATCGGAAGAAACCGTTTCCCGAAAGAAGCGAATCGGCGCGCGGACCTTCGTATGATAATTAACTCGATAAATCAATTCCACCCAAGGTCACGTGCAAGACCGGCAATCGGCGTGGAGGTAAACGGTGGGGGTAAAATTTGCACGCGAGGTGGGAGCATTGCGCAGGCCTGGTGATCATCGTCGTAAAAGACAGCGGCCATCTCTGTCGTTCTACGGTCGTGCAGTTTTGATTAGAGAGCGTCTATCGCGCGTTGTAGCGCTCGTAGCGGCGACAGGCTCAAAAATAGCTGAGGCCTCCTCGCAGGCTGGCACACTCCCAACGGTCTATACTTGGACATCCCCGCGCCATGATTATTTATAGTGAGCGCGAGCGCGGCCACTGGCCTTCTCGTGAACTAACTAGCAGCCACCAAAGACGATCCGTCGCCCGTGACCTAGGCCCGCATTAATAACGATTACACCCCTGCGTTCAGGAATACGGCAGCTTAATCTCTCACCGCTGCACCAACGAATGCATGCCTTTTTGTTTGATCGCGCAGCTTATGAATGGTTCGCGTACACCTGAAATACGTGCGAGTTCTGTTATACTTAACCGGACAGATGCTCGTTTCTGTTCAACATTCAAGATCAGGCAAGAACGCTCAATCCTGCGAGGACATCATGGCGCACGCAACACGTCGCCTTTGATCAAACTATGGAAATCGAAAATCTGCGCTGTTTCTTTGCGTTATCAATTTATGTTCTTACAATTAGACTCTTATTGTAAGAGTATTGTATACTACGTTCTGTGCCACTGTACTTGCATTTTTAAGAACAATATAAATGAGAAATGTAGTTTATTTGTTTCATTAACCTGATCACTAAATGGATGTCAATATAAGGATCTATTGTTTTCCATGCTTTATCAAAGATTAATCAGTACTTTCCCACTTGATATAGCCGAATGAAAAATACAGATTTCATTATCGTCTAAGAGTACAAATTACTTAGATTACATAGATCGATATCTATAAAGTTACATAATTTCTGAAAACAGTGAATTGTAACAATCTAAATATAATACAATGTTTCCCACCAGACACTTTCCCCGTTCGAATATAAATATTGTTTATTATACACGAAACGAGAGATAGGAAAGAAAATCGCTCGGAGATGCAAAACATTTCGAGATCGGAATTCGAATCTACATCGAAACTTTCAGTGCTCCAAATATCGCGCGCGTTCTCGCCGCTCGCGAGAAATCAGCTCGCTAATTAATTTGTACGGCTTCCCGGAAGGTTTATTTCTGCGTAACTGAATGAAAATCGCTCGCGGCTTACTTTCACGGCCACGAAAAAAAGGCGAGTCGTTTCACGTCCAGACGCATCCCTCGCGATATTAATTTCGCGACGCTTAACAAGCTCGTCGGATTCCTCCCGGTGAACAGGGACCAAACGGTGGAAAAATTTATCTGTTCTGCACGGGATTTGAATGCTACGGGCTGTCACTGCTTCTAATAATAACGGAAACAAAGACAGCGGGCTTGATGCTCGTCCAGAAAGCTGTATTACAGCGATCTTCGCGTGCGTTTTGCTCGATATGACAGAAACATCCTGTCTCTTTGCTCCAGAAACTCGTGTCGTTACGTTGGACTGTGGGAACAGAAGAGAGTATCGCTTTGGAAACAATTGTCTAGACTTAATGCGCACACTGGGTCGGATAGAAATCTAAAAGGCTCGATAAAATATTCTTTTAATTCCGTAACTCGTGCCAGCTTGGACCATCCGAGAAAGAAGAGAATATTTTATCCTGGAGACACGTGTTTATATCTTATGGAGTTACCCTGGCGGATGGGAGCTTAAGTTCGCGTCAGTTGTAACTGACTCAACTTCTGACAGTGTAAGATGATACCTCGGAAAATATGGCGGAATATCCTTGTCTTCTTCGTACAGAAATCCGTGCCATTTTCTCGGGGTGCAGAGGTCACGTTGGTAGCTATTTATACGAAAACCAAGAGAAAGGACAGAGAACGCGGGGAAAATTTTGGGAATTCCTTGATTAAAAGCTCCTGGAAGGAGTATGGCTCGAAATTGGGCCGGTTTAAGTATCGGTAATTAAATCTGTGAAGTAGAAGCGGCTCAATCGGGGCGATCTATCCTGCGGTGGTAGCGCGCTAATGGGCCGTGCACGCAATTAGGGGCGTGTGTTTCCTCAAAAGCGTGTCTAAGGACCCCACAAAGCCGGCGTTTCAGTCGGACGAACCGGGGATTCGCGACATCGTGCATAAAGGAAGTCGAAAAGAACCAGAGTCAGTTGCCGGGCAATCTGTTTAACACAGTTTGCACTAACTATGCCAATTAACGTGGTTCCTCCACGAGACGAACATTCTATCGAGCCATAATGTACGAAACGTCTGCTTGTTCATTGTCTGCTAATTTGGGAATAACTCTTTGGTGGTCCCCTCGAGGCAGAACCGAACAAAGATCAGATTCATCGTTAAAATTTCATCGATCTACGTTGACCGTGGCGCTTTATAAGTTAACACGTGTCGCTACAATTTCTGCACCGTGTATTAAATTCGCGTTCGCGGCGATGCTTTCGATGACAGTCGAGCAGACAGGCTCGGTTCGCCAGACGCGAGAAAAAACGAGGAAACGCTTCCTATTTTTGGTGCTCGTTCGCTTCTAAGCCGCCGCGACGCGACTATTTATTTCGACGGTGGCTGATCGCGAATGAAATATCGCCGGCGGAACTTTGCCTTCGACAAAGCCCGAGGCTTTCCCGACAAAGAATGTTTGGACGTCTCTTCGATACGGGTGGATCAATGCTGTCGTTCGCGGGGCCGTCGATCAATGCGAAACGATCGCTCGAAAATAAATACTCGCGATTATTTCGTTGTTTAACCCCTTGAAAAACTATAGATCTGTTTTAGAAATACCTCGTGAATGTAAAAATCTGTTAATTATGATATATAAGCCTCATGATTGTGTAACATTGACATCAAGGGATCAACGAAACGACGAATAAATATTAAAAAATGGCGACAGAGCACTCACAGGAAGTCACGTCGGTTCTCGAGCTATAATATCCGCTGGTTCTTTTCCGTCTATCGGCGACGAGCAATTGCGTCTGTGGAAAGTTTGCAGCATGAATTTCCTAACAACCCGTATAAAGTTATACGAAGTATAAATTTCAAAGACGCGAGGCACTCTGCTTGTCGAAGTTTCGTGCCGAAGTTTCCAAGCAAAAACTGTAACATCTCGATGACTCAGAAGCGCTTCGTTCGCGGTTGTGCAAGACCCGAGGGACACGTCACGAGGCGTAACGCTTAATTAACAGAACTTATCGACAAGTTCCGATAAACGGCGTCGAGCCAAAGGCCTTCTATGGCCAGACGAGGAATTACGAAACGTGAACTCCAGAGGATTACCGCGGCTAATCGAGAGGGAGCAGCATTCTTGCACTTTCAGGTAAACATAGATGAGGTAAGAGCGGTTTTCTACTTGCCATTTCATCGCGATCCCCTCGTATGTTATTCGTAAGCGTTACCCGGGGATCGACGATATCCTTGGGGGGAGATCATTAATTTCGATTATTTGCCACCCACGCGTAACAGTATCTGAGAGTCAATCTGCACTATACAGGTAAAATAACCTATTTATTTTAAAATCAGGTACTTGAAAAAATTCTACAGTTTCGAAGATGTTTTCACAATTTAATTGCAAGTACTATAGAAGTACTAATGTATGTATATTTGTACAGGAACCCTCGGATGTCGTGAATAATTTTTTCTTACACGAATAAGTTATGCAAGTGATTTCACTTGCGGAGTAAGATATGAATATTCAGAAGTAGAAAGTCACCCGTTTAGCAGAACGAGGATATTTTATTAACGAATTATATCACATAATCCGTGCGTTAGAATCGTCGTGAACATTTAATTACCCTTTTATCGTGCAGATAGATGTTTTTCACGATCGACGCAGCACCGATTCTTTTCACGATCAATCAAACACTTCAACGTTCAGAAGCTAAATCATTGAGCGTCGATTAAGTGCAAGTCTTACGTTATCGGAAACGTTGCGATAAAAATGAGAATAAAAACTACACTGTTAATCTCGAGCTATATGAAGAGAAACATGGTGACGTGATGCAATTGCAATTGCAACGTGCTAACGACATTATTACTCTTTACGACACGGCTACATCCTAATTACAGCGTGACGAGCAGAACTTATCTTTGATAGACGTCGTTTTATCAGCTAAAATGCAATTGAATTGAATTCTTTAATCTTTTACAACGCCATGTGACTCTTTCAAAAAAATTGAATGTACACTCGAGTTTAGATCTACAATAGATAATTGCAAAGTAACAGCGATCAACGACTACCTGTTGCTTATCGTAGCAGGGATTGCGGTTAAATTGTTGGCCCCTTGTAAATTGCTAATTCTGCAACAGGAACCGTTGTTGCAGCCGACACGCTGCGTGGATTTTAACGACCGTTACGTCGCAAACGATGCTCGAAGGTAGCCAAACGTGTTCCGGAGATACCTTCGATCGGAAGAATTTAATAAATTCAGGATGCAACGCGGGGATCTTGATCATCAGATTTTTCGAGAACACCGAACCAACCTTATTAATTAGACCAAGTTAGGGAACTAATTATCTCGTTACAACGTTTTCGTCGCGGGCTGCGCGTTATAATGTATGTAATTAATTACAAGATAGCGTCAAAGACGGGGGCGAAACGTGAAAGTAGCGTTTTTAGGTCTTGCACATTTTATTATCTAATTTATAGCTCGTTGCAGCGATGTGACATTTAAGCGCAGGTACATTTCCCGGTTGAAAATCTGAAAACACGCAAAGCCAGTTTTTCGACCAGTTTATTTCTCTGATGGAGAATTAAAGATCTATTCCGAGCACTTCGCGAATAGATTTTGTATCGTTTCGTGAGTTCAAACACAGCCACCGACAAAATCGAGCAAACACTTTGACGATTTATTCCCAGATGAAATAAATCATTCCTGCTTTTAAAACTGATCCATAAATATGAAAACAGTAATAGTAAGCGAGGAATAAAACATTGATCGTAAACGACTAATAAATTGCAATATTTTTGGTCACTACGCACGAGCGTGTGTACAATTTCGTTCTCGACCGTAGCTATAAGATCGAACTAAACTTAGAAACCCGCCACAGTTCGAATAATCGAACGAGCGACAGTGTAACTATAATACTTCAGCCCGCCTCGATCTTCGCGTAATCCTGTTCGATGAAGACCACGGAAACGGAGGCATGGATAGTTATCGTGAATCACGGGCCGTGATTTATGCCGAACGATAGCTATTTTCGCCAAAAACCAGCCAGGCAAACTTGTATCGAGTCGAGTCGCGCGAACGCCGCGGCGTTTATTTGGCTTTCGCGATTTTAAAACAAATACATCCTTCGCCCGAACAGCCTCCCGATCGATGCATCCGTGCCGTCGATTTGTGTATAAACAGATCCTTATTGGCGACACGCCAGCTGCTCAGTCGCCCAGCTATTGAACCGATTTGGCCCCCAAAGGTCCCGTAATCGTGAAAGTGTATCGATCGCAGTTCCGTGATCTGGGTCATCGTGTCAACTTTTCAGCCGACGATCAGCTGGAAAACGGCTCCTCGACTTTCCTCCTACGTAGACAAAAGTAGGGAAACTCGACTCATCGCGCTCAGATATTCGATAATTATAATCGATCGATACAGTTTGAATCTAACACTCGTTTCATGCGTGATTAAAGAAAACTTCACGAGGAGAAACGTATCAATTACAAACAAGTTTCCTTTCGCGATAGGCAGAAGAAAGCATATTTCCAAGATGAAATTTAACCTGAATATGCTGGATATTAGACAATTTCCAAGTAATTTCATTCGGGGAGCAAGTTTCCTTTCGGCGCTTTCCATTCGACGGATTAATTTTACTTTCGTTCCGATACGCTTCAGCGGAATGTTAAAATTGCAACAGGATCGATGGTTACGTTCAGATTGTCATTTTCAGGAAAATTAAAGAAAGTCTTAAGTATCCACTTAGTGGACTGAGACTCATTATAGTAAAAGTTATTTCTATCGTTTCGAAACAGATAAACGATGCGCTGATTAACAATTGTTTGAAGCGTTTACAGGCTTTAAGTGCAATAAAAAACTTTTCTTTGGATAATATAAGACTATTTACGATGAAATCTTGCGATAAGATACGGAACGAGGTTAGACGATAGTTGGAATCAATTGGCAGATAAATTACATCCACTCGTATCGATATCTAGGAAACGTTCGAATGATCCGATCAACAGTCGACGATGAATTCCATACAGGGACGAGAGATCATTTAACGGGAAGATATCTAACTGCTAATTTACACCAGCACGATAAAACAATTTACTCCGAGCGAAATGTGGATTGGTACTTGAATGAGTGAAATCGAGGAATTCAGAAAAAACGAGAAGAAAGTTGTTTGGTATGGCAACAATGTAACAGGGAGAGTTACCAAAGCAATAAAAGTCGAGATGGAACAGTAATTCGATCACGGTCGTTAATTTCTAATTTAGAATCTATTGGCATTAATTTTCAAACTTCAAACTAATGCTTCTTAAAATTGTTTCTTCAAAGGTAAAGTATACGAGACTAAAACGTAAGATGCGCCGATTTATTGCAAACTTCTTTGTTCTCCTTACAGTATTTATTTTTTACAGTCATATTGTCAAGTTTCATTTGTTCGAAGCACTATTCCTACGTTATAGTTTTATGACGAAGTGGACCAAAATGGAAGACATCTCTGACGCTCGAAAAGCTTGCACTATTTAGAACACCGAATAGCGTGTTACTTTTCCGAGGAAACGATGTATAGAAGCAGCAATTTACAGCAAGAAAAAAATTTAATCGCATAGTTTCGACTAAACTTGGCGTAATTTATGGTCGTCGTTACGTTCGCGCGGCGGTTTCGAGCCCATTCTCGCGCAAATCGATCAAGTCGCGATTAATGCTTCTCGATGCTGCAGTTTCCTGTTCGCGATCGCGCCGGTTGTCGTAGGTCAGCAATTCTCGATACGATCTTCCGGTCTTTCTACGTGACTTATAAATACATCGACGCCGCGTTCCATCAACGATCGACGAACGGAGAGCGACGCCGTGCGTATCGAGGCGCGCCGCAGAACGCGGAAAACGTTCCTGACCGTCTCGATGGTACAGGGTGCTTCAAAAAAATATCAACACCCACGTAAAACCGACTCCTTTCGAACAAAACAAAGTTGCGACACGATATATTACCAAATACATTAAATAAAAAAAATATCATATGGATTATTTGCAACGTAGAATGCTAAATGAAATAGTATCTTATACGCCTTGCTTTTGCCTACGAGATTAATTTATGAGTTTCTGACGGGTCAACGCGACCAGTTAATTTTGTTTTGAAGCACTCTGTAGCGCCATCGATGAAATTAAATCAACGAAAATCAGCGACGAGGTAGGAAAGGAAAGGCGCGTTGTTTGATCGATCGAGGCATTTGTACAATTAATTGATGCTGCCGTTTGGCTGCTAGCCGCTGTATTATGTCATGTCGGCCGCAACAATAATGGCATGCGAAACGAGCCACCGTGTGCAGACCAAATATTGGGACGTCGTTAATTAACGGCAGTTTTCTTTAATGACCGCCAGCCAGTGAATGCGAACACGTTGATCAATTATCGCGACAGATTGAACGATGTTGCATTATTTCCCGCGCGATGAATGATCCCGTGCAAGATGTAATTGAGAAGAATCGCTGGTAAAACTTGGATCCCGATTTACGATCTACTTTCTGCCCTTACAGCTGTTGGAATCCGGGTGGTCAAGTAATGCTCCGTTTGTATAATCGGAGTTTATTGCTCGCTGGTACTGCCAATTCCAATCGTTCGCCTTCTATTACTACATGTGACAACGTCTCTTGATGAATGTCTGAGTCGAAGTTTCAATTAATAACGATTTTTCATCATGGGTGATACAGCCTCCCCTTCGTTTGGATATCTCGTGAAGCAGAAAAATCTTTGCAGTAGTCCTAGGCAGCCGCACCAACGACAACAGTTTATACAAATTATTATTATTAAAACAGCAACTACTATTCCTAGAGTGATTGTATACCACTGGGTGTGGGTAACTATAAATGGTTCGTTTAGACTATGAGTTAGAATTTGATCGAACTCGTTTAGTTTGTCGGTTGCGTATTTAAAATCAGATAGATCTATATTTGTCAGTTTTACCGGTTCCAAATGTGTCGCATCAATTTTGACTTTGTTTAGATCCACCATGCAGCAATCACTGTCCACTATACTGATCGAAGGTACGTAATGGCTGATGTTTCTTATAGTTTGCTTCGTTGGTTCCAGAAGATAAATACTGCTGTATCCTTTGCACTGACTTTCTAGATGTAGTATACCTGTCTGGTGCAGGACTATGTCTTCCATGTGGTATCCATCTCCTTGGCAAACAATGGTTACAGTAGTTGGTTTTTGCAGAACGTAGATCCACTGGTTGTTCTGGATGTACGTCCATGTCTCGATGCTGGCCCTGATGGTCTTCGTATCACAATCTTCCGGTATTTTACTCGTACGACGTGATAACAGCTGGGCTTCGCAAGTGGGTTGTTCGATCGCTTTAGTCGTATGGACGTCCATACATACGTAATTCCCCTCCAGATACATAATGCAATTTCTTAAATCTTGTAGTAGGGAAAAGTGCGTCTTAGGTTGGGTTATCATTAAATAGGGTTGTTTGGGAGAAATATAAGAGAAAAAAGAGGTATTTTGAAATTGAACGGGAAGTGGAATCAAATGATAAAGTTCATATATCGTTTTTTTTACTAGCGGATACTTTAAAGCGAATATTATAAAATCTTTCGACGGAATTACTTGTAAATCTAAGATCTTATAAAATATTGGCAATGTCTCGAGTTTAGGGGATACTACTAGTTCATGCTCCCCTTTGTAGCTGGTTAACTCGTTCAACAGAATTTCAGGCGTTACGATTAATGGTGATAAGATGTTGTGTCTTCCCAAGTTTACTGCTTCTATGTATTTATTATACTCCTGCGTGATTGTGTGACTTAAGGACAATAATGTTGAAATTTGTTGTTGTATTATAGATCGAGCTTCTAATTCTGTTATGTATAATTTTGTATCAGTCATGAATTTGTTAATTCGATTTATATTACTGTTCATTATATCTTCGTTATTTTTCAGCGCTGCTAAAGATTGATTGAAATTTTTTATTGTACCGGAAATAATCTGAATTTGAGATTTTAATAAAGTTTGTGTCTGTCTATTATTGTTTAGTAGCATATTGATACTATCCGTATAATACTGTGCATCATTTGCATCAGGAACACCAAAAAGAAACTTGAATGCATGAGATACGGCATTAACTAAGCCGCGACGTTTACGTTTATCAATTCCCTGACCTGCCAATTGATGCAATATTTCATGTTTGGAATTTATATTCTTTAGTTCGTCATTTATTACGTTTAGAGTTTGTTCGCAATTATAGTTTGTATAATTATATCCTTCCTCGTCTTTCATTTTAAACGTGCAAAGATTTTTCGATTTTAGATATATTGTTTCTAATATTAGTCGAGCTTCATCAAGATAGGTAATATTAATGTGCGTTAGTAGTGCCAGTTGAGTGTTTGAAGTTTTTGCAATTCCTAATTTGTTGTAGATTATTCCACTTGAATTGGTAATTGGAGTATTAGAGAAATAGTGGCCATTTGTTAGAAATGGAAGTGCGAGGAGTATACAGAGTGTCCAATTCATGTTGCTTCCCTTCGGTGTTGTCTACGCTTGGTACTGACTCGGTTGATCCAGTGATTCCTTAACAGAGTGTGAACTTGGCAACTACATGCAGTGCGGAATATGCTCCGTATTGAACAACGGCACTTCTGACACCAAATTTATGTTGGAATCCGGGTGGTCAAGTAATGCTCCGTGTAATCAGAGTTTATTCACGATCGTTGTACACACGCTGAACTCAACTATGAAGAATTTCCAATGGAAGTTGACTCTAGACAAGGCGTTAACACCCGCGGACTTCTTGTGCAACTCTAAGACCCCTGCGCTCACATGGGTATATATGTTTAGCGATAGTAGAGGAGGAGGACTCTTTATGACGTATCGATGTTTGGCTTATTGGTTATCCAACACAGCGTTGATAATTTTAAAAAATAATTTTTTCTCAAATTAAGTTTATTTACAAAAAGAACAGAACGTAAGAGTTAATCAGGGAGATGTTTTGAAATCGTGATCTATCGCTTATTTTCCGTTCCGAGGCTGATAACGTTCTCAGAGCCGTAAATAATGAACACAGATAGCGATGCAATTTCTGATACGACGATATCGATTAATGGCAGAGCGATCGATCCGACGTAACGATATATATTTAGGTGAAATTCAATATCAAAATGTGCGGCGATCGAGATCAACTTTCTATCCTTATTCGTACGGCTTCTCGTTCGGTTCGTTTCGAGGATGATATATCACGAGAGGTGTAAATAATAAGCAACGATACCATTTGTAATTCAGTAGGTAGATCGATCTTTCGTGCAACGATACACGTTTAAACGAAATCGAGTATCAAAATGCACGGAAATCGAGATCAACTTTCTATCGCTGCTTATGGCTTCCAGTCTCGTTCCTTTTAAAATGACACTCAAATGACCTATCACTTAAATGTCGAGTATTTCGTCTATTTTCCTCAAAATTATTTCGACAACGATCAAACCACCTAACAAATTGAAACGAACTTCTATGAAAGATAGATCCCGAGCCTCTGTTCATCTTCAAGGATCTGCGTCGAACACTGTTTTCCCCATCTATTTCTATCCAAAATGCACGAGCCCCTTTTCTCGAAAATTACTTACTCGAAAGAAGCTGGATTCTTCTCGATTTTCGACCACGAAGAATCCTGAATGGATATTAGGGGCCCGAGGAAGACACACCAGTAGTGGCACGCGAACCAAGACGAGGCCTCTGGAGCTGGAGCGCTACTAAACAACTGACTTTTATGCTGGAAGCTCGACGAGAGGACGCCAACACGAGCAGTAGTGGTATTGTGCGACACGCTAGCTAGCAAAGTCTACGAACAACCAAAGGATCGCGTTCAACGACTTTCACTGTTCGCCTCGAGCGGTTCGCCATAGACGGAGCGGCTAGTTTTTCGCGTTGAGAAAAAAAAAACGCAACCGTAATCGTTACCCGGTCCGCGGCAATTAAGGACGTCCGCTTTTCAGCGGCTTAACTCGATTTGCGTTCATCCCGCGTGAATAGCCGCCATTAGCGTGTTTGCAGCGACCACGAGGGTTTTGGAATAATTTTTAAACGCACGCGTTGAAAGGCTAGTGACGCGAGTCGCTCATTCTTCGTATCTTTTCTCTTCCTTTATTCGAGAACGCGTTAATATCTTTCCTCGTGAAAATAGAACGAGGCTCTTTGGTTTTTCATTGTGGGTTACAGTATCTTTTCCCGAGGAAAGTATCTACAATTTTACATTTTTAAAATCTATCTATATTATCAGACCCCCAAATTTTACTCTGTGCTCGTATGATTGGATCCACTTATCCAAAACTTCGGTTGTTTCAATCGAAAAATCAATAGGGGAAATTAGTGAACTCCCATTATACAAATGATCCAATTATATGAACTGTCCCCCTGCGAATTACTTGAATTATACTTCAAGTAATTTCATCCTAACCGAGGAACGCGTGAAAATTTATGATACAATAAATAATATATCTTTCTGATGGAACGGACTTCCTGGGTCTATAATCCCAACTTATATCTATCGATAACAAAAGTATTAAATCTACTTGGAAAAGATTAAACTGTACGCGCGACGTGGGAAAAAACACCTTGAGCTCGACGATCGCTGAAAAGAATGCTGTGGCACGATTGTGAGAGCAGAAAACGTGTCATCGAGGGATACGGAGAGATGCGTTTTGCAAATGATCTTGAGATTTCCGCGGCATTTCTACCTAACCGCCAGTATGTAGGTGCGATGAGGTCACTCCTCGAGTCTGCGAGATGATATCACTCGAATCTCGTGGAGCAACGATTTGTTTACTGGCACGTAACAATTTCTTAGAACGTTATTGTTTTCGAGTCGAACGACCAAAGAAGAGAGGATTTTGCATCGCGTTGCTCTCCTTTCGTCGCGACTTTTCCATCGAACGACGCTCTAATCCACATAATCCCGCCAAGGTCGCATTACCATACTTCATCGAAGTCATCTTTTCCCCGTCCCACGGAGTGTATCGTTTAAAAAGTCCACGTTTATCTTCTCGAGAGAATAATACAATTATAATCTACGGTTACATTAACGAATTACACATCAGTTTCTTCCAACGAAGTCGAATACAAATATTTGCCAAAACATTTCGAGGGAAGAGATATTCGCGGAGGAAGTGTTTTTTGTTCGTCGTTAACGAGTGGCTTCCTGTCTTCGTAAACATTCCCTGGCGATAGAAAGTTGATGCGTACGATAAACAATTCGCTTAAACCGTGAGAATCAGGCACCGGCAGTCCAGATTTAAATAAACGGAAGAGGAGCGACCACACTGAGCAAACAGTGTTAACGAAAATACGTTTTTAGGTGAATTTGCGAGTCACGTGTTTTACTTTCAACGGGTCACAAAAATTTGTTCGAACGCGATAATATCCGGTAACTTTCACGGAATAACCAACGTTATTTTTACGTATATTTTTAGACCCTATTGATGTTTTCCCTACACGCGGTGGGATTACTCCGAGTAAATGATGCATCGTTGGAAATGTCACTTTAAATGCCATCGCGTTGTTATTAGGCGCCCATTTACGTCATTTCTTCGATAACTAATAATATTCCTGTCGCTAGCAGACGCGGACGGGCAAAGTTGACCAGCGAAAAGATTTATGGAAATATCGTGGTATAACCGATTGATATCTCTCGGGATAATCGCGAGATGACTTTCACATTCTGGCGAAAAGTAATTAAACAAGCGTTGGAATCTATTATAAGATAACTTGTGGGTCGTGAGAACAATTTATTACATAACCCGAGATCGAAAACGTCAGCTTAAACAAAGTGAATTTACTATTCGATCTGCGTTGTCTTTCTCAACAATTTTCTACGGATTCTTCGAATTTACATTTCGTTTTCCGAGGGTGCATTTTTGTTAACGTTCATTTGCAATTCGCGCCGTTCTCGTTATAACTTTTATCTCGTTTCTATTAGTTTCTCGCTTCCTTCGGATGACGAACTAGCTCCAGGTAGCCGGTTAATTAATTGCACGCGCCTCGTTTCGACGCGAACAACAATACGTCGTAACGAAACCGAAGGGAACGGTACACAACAGCGACCTTTTCGCAAGTTTCCCACGCGTGGGTGGCGAACAGGTCTACCAGAAGCAAGTTCAACAGGAAAATGGTGAATATCAATTCATTTCACACAGAGACGTATCTGAATTCGTTAAAAATTGACCAGCAACATTATTTTCTTATTTATTAACAACTTGTTTACCTATTTGATACCGAAACGTACACCAGTCAGAGTGTTCCTTTCTAATAACTATTTCGTCCGACTCACCCAGGATTAAAGGAAGATTCTGTCACTTTGGGAACGAAGGAACGATCAGGAAGCACTAAGTAAGTTTCGATCGAGCCACTGGTATCGACGGTTGACGGACGATCGAATGATTCGCGTGACTAGAACATGCCTGTCATTTGGTCCGTGGACGGTATTAGATACGCCGGCCAATGCGTCCTCAGGGTCCATTAATTTTGTCTGCAAGGAGAGAGGTCTGCGTAGAACCGTATCGAATGCATCCGAAATGCGTTCCGAGATAGATTCGGCGACAGAATGCGGAGCAAGGCTTTTCACATCCGATATGCGACGCGTCCGTGTGCGAGGCGTTCAATGTTAAGTCGAGTGGAATGTGAAAATACCCTGACAGTAACAGGCCGTTAACCCAAAATCACGTTCGGTTACTGTTTCGACCGTGAGTACAGCCCAATTGCATCGCTTAGATCGAACATCGCATTTTCCTTCGTTCGACCAACCTCAGGGACGAATTATTTTTGATTCGCTAAGAATCCACCGTACGATCGATCCAACTAAACAAACCTAATCTCTCGCGTATAACATTCCACAACGTTAGTAGTTTCTTTTTTTGAGTTAAGGTATTAATTTTCGAAGGTGGTCGAATGATGAAAATGTTTCTAATTTTTATCACTGTGCACGGAGAGAAAATGCGTTGTATTTTGATTAAAATTATTTAATGAAATTCGATTAGATTGATAATCGAATTACGTATCGACGAAAGTAGACAAGCTCGTCTTAATGATACTCTATTATAATAATTGACATTCCTCAAGAGGGGTATTTAACAGTATATAATGATATTGCTTTTAATAGTTAATGAAATATCGTGAAACAGTGGCAGTAGCGGAATAATGAGGGAAATTGAACGGGGAACGCTTGCGGAATTCCATTCGTGCGGTATCAGCGGTCCGAATCGCGCGGATTCCACAGATTTTTGGTTCTACAACTTCCGTCAGATATTTACACGAACGATTCTTTGGTATTTCAATTCCTCTGTATAATTATTATTTAGTCAGGCACGCGAAAATTCCGTCGGCCGATTCGATCGATTTTTAGCACCACGACTGGCCCTCGAATACTTAGGATGCCTGTCCTTTCGTGAAAAGAGATGCAAAAAATGACGATTATGTTCATACGTCTGCATTAAAATCTAAATTAATATATTTAAAATACTTCGTTATCCACGAACTGTCATACAACTTTCAGAGTGGCTAATTTGAGGGAAACGAAGGACTAAAAAGCAGTTGCGTATCTAATGACCCAGATGTGCACGTCGATTATATTTATCAATGACTGTTTAACGGTCCCGGTAATTAAGAAACGGACGATCGATCAGTTTCATCGCTCTTTTCCCGGTGGTATCGCGATCGATCGATACGCGTCGAGTTATACGACTCGTCGCTCGTAAAAATCCTCACGATTCCCTGCGTTTCTTCGATCGAAA